AGGGTCTTGCTCTGTTGTCCAGGCTGGAGTGCAGTGATGTCATCATAGCTCACTACAGCCTCAAACTCCTGGGCTCAAGCGATCTTCCTGCCTCAGCCTCCCTAGTACCTAGTAGCTGGGACTACAGACGCATGCCACCATGCCTAGCTAATTTTTTTTTTTTTTTGAGAGATGGCGTCTTGCTATGTTGCTTGGGCTGGTCTCAAACTCTTGGGCTCAAGCCCTCCTCCTGCCTCAGCCTCCCAAAGTGTTGGGATTATGGACATGAGCCACTGCACTCAGCCTCAACCAGGAGCTCTAGACTCCATTCCTGTGCACTGCCCTCTGGATGAAGCATGTGTTGCCTACAGACGGGGCTGGAGAGAAGCTGGTGATAAGCGTTACTGAGTGAGGGGTGCGTTTGTGAGGACAGAGCCCAGCAGGAGTCTTACCCTTGCCACTGTCTACCCTGCAGGCCTGAGGAAGATCCTGAAGGTGGTGGGACAGGTTCCAGATCTGCCGTCCTGCCTGCCCCTGACCGACAACACCCGCATGCTGGCTTCTATCCTCATCAACAAGCTCTACGACGACCTGCGCTGTGACCCAGAGCGCGATCACTTCCGCAAGATCTGCGAGGAATACATCACGTAAGTTTCCTGGAGGCCTCACAGGGTCGGGCTCTGTAGTAGTTATCTATGGCTGTGTAACAAGTTACCCTCAAATTCAGTGACTTAAAATGACAGTAATCGTTTATTATCTCATAGTAGAACAAGAATCTGGGAGTGGCGTGGCTGAGTGGTTCTGGCTTAGAGTCTCTTGTGAAGTTACAGTTGCGTGTTAGCTGGGGCTGCAGCCATCCGAAGGCTTGACTGGGGCCGGAACATCTGTTTCCAAGATGGCGCACTCAATGGCTGGCATTTTGCTGCCTGCTGTTGGCGAGAGGCCCCAGTTCCTCTCCACACAGACCTCTCCACAGGCTGTTGAGGTGTTCTCGCCATATGGCAGCTGGCTTCCCTGAGCAAGTGACCCAAGAGGGAGCAAGACAGAAGGGGCAACGTCTTCCATAATCTAGCCTCCGAAGTCACACGCCATCCACTTCTGCCACATTCTATTCACTAGAAGCAAGTCATTAATTAAGTGGCTCTGCAGAGGCTAGACAGGGGCAGGGCCCTCAGCAGCTGGAGTTCCTGGGTCTTCTCATGGCCACTAAGTCGTCACTGTGTTGCAGGTGTCTCTCTGGGTCTCTGCTTCTCTTTATGGGTCCTTGCCCTTCTTCCCCACTGCTACTTGGCCTTTTAACTTTTTATTGCAATGATTCTCAAACTCGTAAATTATTCAGATTTCTGAGACACTTGCCCTTGACTCAGTAGTCTGGGCTGTGGCTCAGGAAGCACCAGGCGAGTCTGGGGTGGGTGAAGACCCCGCCTTCACTCTGCTTTTCCTTTCTCTATTCCAGGTGTTGACAAACTTTTTCTATAAAGGATGAGCCAGAGAGTAAATATTTTAGTCTTTGCAGGACATCTAGGTCTTTATGCATATTCTTTTTTTCTAAATCCTTTAAAATGCAAACGCCATTCTCAGCTCCCTGGATTTGGCAATTCCTGCTCTACGCCACAGCTTCTACTAATCCCTGACTTTGGTTCCCTTAAAGCTTCTTGTGGTTTCTCTGTCTTTCTCTACCTCAGCTTCAGCTTTTCCTGCTAATGTCTTGGGTCCCTCAGGACGTCCTGAATTGATTTCCAGTAACTGTCACCCAGCTAGTCCTCTTTTGGGCTCTCTGATGAAGTCCCCGACTGGTTGGTCTGCAGCAAGGAGGTGATACACCCTGCTTCGTCAGGGGCCAGGGACTGTGTGGAGGTTTGGGCACCAGTGGGCATTGGGAACCAACCTCAACTCATTCGGAAAGGCTCTGGGTTCTCTGGGCATGGGGCGGAGACCTGAGGCACAGGACACAGAGTGTCCGAGCTTGAGAGGCTCTCAGAGCTTCCAAAGCTGACTCCTCTCCCCAGAGGGACTTGCCCAAGGTCACTAGCAGACAGAGGCAGATATGGGACCAGAGCCCAGGTCCCAGACTCTCGGTGTGGAGTCCTCCTGGCCATTCTATGCCGCCTTCTTTCATTCACACACATCTGCATGTCTGCTGCGCACATCTGCCCCGATTCCCCGCATGGAACCGACCTGGGCAGATCATAGAAGCATCAGAGGGTATGTCACCTCTGACGTCTCCATGCAGAGATTCTCCCCCAGAGTAGGTGACAATAGATTCTGAAAGTAAGGCAGAACCTTCCTGGACATCAAGCCCACACCCTCACTGACAGGGGAAGGGACTGAGACCAGGTCACCAGACAGAAGTGACTAGCCCGGGCCATGTCGCAGAGCAATACAGTGTGCTGAGTGCCATACGGTGCCGGGCCCTTTTGTGTCGTGGTTGCTGTACTGTCCCACCAGACACTCCAGCTGCTGGACAGGCTATCGGCTGGTAGCTGTTACATCTCTTTGAGACTTGCCTCAGCTGAGGAGAGCTGTCTCGCCCTTCCCAGGGCAGCCTGTATTCAAAGACTTATCCCAACTTGGCACAAGTTTGAAGGGTGTCCCAGCTCCAGAACTCTTTGCAGGCTGAGGCTCTGTGGTGACTGCATCGTAGCCCAATGCCTCCCTCTGCCCAGTCCTGCTTCCTTCTCTTCCCAAGAGCTCTCTCTAATAAACTTCCTGCACGTAAATCCTTGAGTTACATCTGTTGTGTCATTTATCCTTACTACGGCTCTGAGGAGAAGTAGTACTATCCTCAGTTTACAGGACCTGAGACTCAGAGAGGTTCAGTGAATTGCCCAACATCACACAGCACATGAGTGAGGGAGCCAAGGATGCAAATCCAAATCTGTCTGCCTCCAAATCTCACATTCTTTCCACCCTCAAAGGCCAGTGTTCTTGATCACGCTTGCCATCTATTTCAGGGGCAAGTTTGACCCTCAGGACATGGACAAGAACGTGAATGCCATCCAGACAGTGTCAGGGATACTTCAGGGTCCCTTTGACCTGGGCAATCAGCTGCTGGGACTGAAAGGCGTGATGGAGATGATGGTGGCGCTGTGTGGCTCAGAGCGTGAGGTGGACCAGCTGGTGGCCGTGGAGGCCCTCATCCACGCCTCCACCAAGCTCAGCCGCGCGACCTTCATCATCACCAATGGCGTGTCGCTGCTCAAACAGATCTACAAGACCACCAAAAACGAGAAGATCAAGATCCGCACACTGGTGGTGAGTGGGCTTGGTACCACCCACCTTCCCGGTACCAGACACCATGCCAGGCACCAGGGACACCAGGATGAATGAGCCAAGACCCCTGTCCTTGAGGAAACCATGCTGGGGGGGCACCCTGGCCCATGCACAGGCCTCTGCAGGACAGGGCAGTAGGCAGGGGCTGTCAGGACATAGAATGGCGGACCCTGCCATTTAACCCCGAGGATGCTCGTAAGCCTTTGTGCTTATGAGCAACACTAACACTGATGAGCTTGTGTCCGGAAAGTATTTCCCGAGGAAATTCCAAAAAGCGTGTTTGTTTCCTTCTTCAGTTTCTAGATGGCACAGTTAAATCCGTTTTATTTTTTCTATTTTCACTTTACCGAAATTATTTTTATTGATATTTTGTTTTTCTTATAAACAATTACAGTGAAGACTTGAGTCATTGCAATTTTTTTGTTCATATCAATTCCTAAAATACTAATTTTAGCTTCTGCCATTGTGAGTTTTCTTTTATGGAAAACTTTTTTTTTTCCCCCCTAAAAAGGGCCCAATTTCCCCTGGGTGAAATTTTGCACATCCGAATCTGTTATCCACAAAATATGATTTTTCTGCCAGTTTTTGTGCCATAACAAGGTTTACCATTGAGTTTCAGATACGGTTAGCCTTTTCTTGCGCTGGTTTTTCAAAATGGCAGACACAAAACATCTGTGAGATCCAAATCGTGCGGAAAAGGGGCAGGGTAAGACCCTGCTGCTTTGTGGACATCTCCCCTAACCTCGAAGCATCAGGGAAGGCATCTCAGAAGAGGAGCCACCTGAGCTGAGAATTATAGTCTGCACAGAGGCCCATCCAGGCAAAGAAAGAGGGGCAAAGTGTCCTGACCACAGGGAACTGTTCGAGCCTGGCCTCGTCCCCGAGCTGTGGTGTCTCTCCTTCCCCACAGGGACTCTGTAAGCTCGGCTCTGCGGGCGGCACGGACTATGGTCTCAGGCAGTTTGCTGAAGGGTCGACAGAGAAGCTGGCCAAACAGTGTCGCAAGTGAGGGGCTTGCATTAATATTTCCCGGGCCCTCTGTCTCCTCCTGGGCTCCCGTGTAGAGGTCTCTGGGGTGCGCTCTAGTGGACACCAGACGGCGAAAGGGCCCTCACCCGCTGCCCACTACCCTGAACTCACTGCACTCCCTCGACCCCGGCACCCTCCCCAGCAGCCCTCCCCCCGCCCTTGCAGGTGGCTGTGCAATGCGTCCATAGACACCCGCACCCGGCGCTGGGCAGTGGAGGGCCTGGCCTACCTCACACTGGACGCAGATGTGAAGGACGACTTTGTCCAGGACATCCCTGCCCTGCAGGCCATGTTCGAGCTGGCCAAGGCAAGTGTGGAGTCTGCCCTTTAAGCTGGTTCCTCAGGAAGGGTCCACGGGATCCAGGCCCACAGGAACGGGATCCCTGTATCCTCATTCTTGCCCTACCCCCTGCTCCCCGTGTGAACCTGGATTGGCCATTTCCCTCTTTCCGGCCCTCATTCTACCTGCCTGTAAAATGGACTCACCATTCTCCATGCTTTCCAGCCAGTGGGAGGATGAACAAGAGGACAGTGTGTTTTCCTGGGCCCTCTGGAAGTGACATCTTGAGGGACCAAGAGGCAGCATCTAGCCTGTCTAGGCCCCTTCCTTCCCCCCACCCCCCAGACCCCTCCCCTCCTCTGCTGGGCCGACTTCCTGGCTCTTTTTCGCCAGTAAAGGAAGGAAGTGTGGGAGGGATTTCCACCAGGGCCAGACTGGAGGGTGTCCAGCTCCCACCCTGTCCCCACCCCGGTTGGATGGGAAAGTGTCGGCCTGGGCTTTTGAAAGAGGCGCAAAGCAGGGAGCTTCGGGAGAAGACTCCTATTCAGGCTGTCGGGGCAGCTGCAGAGCATGCAGGAGACGTTGCTGCCCACCGAGGAGCAGAGCCATGCTCTCCTCTGTGCCACTCTCTCTCTCCAGGACGAGCCCACCGGCCACACTCCTCCCAACCCACCTGCCGGCCGTGTGAGGGAGCCGTCCTGGACGAGGTGCGTCCTAACGTTTCCCTTTTGCCTCCCCCGACCCTGTGTCTCTAGAGCAGTGACAAGACCATCCTGTACTCAGTGGCCACCACCCTGGTGAACTGCTCCAACAGCTATGACGTCAAGGAGGTCATCCCGGAGCTCGTCCAGCTCGCCAAGTTCTCCAAGCAGCACGTGCCGGAGGAGCACCCCAAGGTGGGAGTGGGAATGGCCTGGGAGAGGTCTGTGCCACCAGGCCTCCAGAGGAGGTGGAGCGGCGAAGACAGTTGTGTCAGGGCTGTGTGTTTGGAACGATCGGGGTGAGATACCCAGCAGTTGAAGACGATGGTGGTATTAATAAATTTACCCACCAGATGGCGCTCATGTCTTTTTCTTTGTTTTAATTTTGTAGCCTGAGAAAACAGCCATGAGCAAACAGCAATTTATGTTGTTGTATGTGTGCTGGATAGAAGACAATTTTATTTCATATTTCCAACATTTATAATGATGTGGATTTTCTGGGATATCTGGATTTGTAATATGGGTGCTAAGTAAGGTAATGAGAGGAGGAGGGACAGGGGTCGGCATTAGCCCAGATGGCACACATCCCTCGGGCCGTCTCTGGTGCTTCCCTGCACACAAGGTGTGATTTGCATATGGTTATACATGCAAAATATTCCCAGCCAGTAGAATCATTTGGATTTTAAACAATGATCAAAGTAATATAACCACACTGCAAAACAAAGGAAAAGGTGAATAACAGAGAATAACAACTCAAACAATGACATCATCTCCATGTGACCACTGTTGGCATTTGGGTATGTTATATTACCTCCCAGAGGCTTTGTTTTTTCTGAGCATCTTTTTTTTTTTTTTCGAGACAGGGTCTCACTCTGTTGCCCTGGCTAGAGTGCCGTGGCGTCAGCCTAGCTCACAGCAACCTCAAACTCCTGAGCTCAAGCAATCCTCCTGCCTCTGCCTCCCGAGTAGCTGGGATTACAGGCACACGCTACCACACCTGGCTAATTTTTTCTATTTTTAGTGGAGATGGGGTCTTGCTCTTGCTCAAGCTGGTCTTGAACTCCTGGCCTTAAACAATCTTCCTGCCTCGGCCTCTCAGAGTGCTGGGATTATAGGCATGAGCCACCGCACCCGGCCCTCTGAGCATCTTTTTAATTTTCATAGTTATAATCAGAATGTAGTTATCATTTTGTGCCTAATTTTGGAAACATGCTTTATGTGGTTTCCACATTGCCATCTCATTCTCTGAATCATTTTTAAAAGCTGCAAAGGATTTCATCCAGGCAAGAGCATAGAGCATGCTCTGCAGCTGTGAAGCTCAGATGTGGCTTCTAACGATCGCCCACGATTGTCACCCTCTTCCTGACCACTTCCCGCTCTGAGGATTATCTGTGGTGACCGTTTGACCCTGGGCTGACTTTGGGTTTCCAGCAAAACCCAATCCATTGTCATGGCAGCTTCATCTGCTATCCCCTTTCACCCCCGTCCATATTCTCTTCCCACCCCCACCCCATCCCAGTCTTTCGCAAGAAAAGCAATATATGGGTCATCTAATGTTTTAGATTATCTTTCTTTTATGTCACTCCTGTGTGAATGAGAGGGTCTTTGGGATTGATTTTCTTGCAGTATCAACTCCTCAGCCTCTGTATTGGGTACTGGGAGTAGGGAGGGCAAGGACAAGGAGAAGACGCTCCCACACAGCAGCAGACATGCCGTATGCACCTAGGTGGTTGTCTGGAGAAGGGATCTGGAGAAGCATATTCGTTTCCTAATGCTTCTATTGCACACTGCCACAAACATAGTGACCTAAAACAGCACAGTTATGTTCTCACAGTTCTAGAGGTCAGAAGTCCTAAAAATCAGAATCACTGGGCTAAAGTCAAGGTGTCAGCTGGACTGGTTCCTTCTGGAAGCTCGAGGGGAGAATCTGTTTTCTTGTCTTTTTCAGTTTCTAGAGGCCACCTACATTCCTTGGCTGGAGACCGTGAATCACTCCAACCTCTTGCTTCCATTCCGTTTTCATATCTACTAGTACTAACTCTGATCTTCTGCCTCCCCCACCCACCTCTTTTTTTTTTGAGGCTGGAGTGCAGTGGCCCAATCCTAGCTTATTGCGGCCTCAAATTCCTGTGCTCAAGAGACCCTCCTGCCTCAGCCTCCTGAGTAGCTGGGACTACAGGCGTGCACCACCACACCTGGCTAATTTTTTAATTTTTTGTAGAGATGGGGTCTCGAGCTATGTTGCTCAGGCTGGTCTCAAACTTCCGGCCTCAAGTGATCCTCCTGCCTTGGACACCCAAAGTGCTGGGATTATAGGTGTGAGCCACTGTGCCTGGCCCCTGCCTCCCTTTTATAAAGACCTTTGTGATTACAGTGGGCCCACCCAGATAATCTAAGATTATCTTCCCATGTCAAGATCCTTAACCACATCTGCAAAGTCACTTTTGCTTTTGTAAGGTCACGCATCCATAGGTTCCAGGGATTAGGCTGTGGACATCTCTGGGAGCCATTCAACCTACCTCGAGAATTCAGACAGGCACTATCTTTGGTTCCAATACAAATCGGCCTGGGATGCCGGCCCCTTCCTCATTGCCACTCTTTCATCTCCCCAGGACAAGAAGGATTTCGTAGACATGCGGGTGAAGCGGCTTCTGAAGGCGGGTGTCATCTCCGCGATGGCCTGTATGGTGAAAGCAGACAATGCCATTCTCACTGACCAGACCAAGGAGCTGCTGGCCAGGTGTGGCTACCGTGGGCCAGGGCTAGGGGCTGTGGGGCCTGGAGGACAGGAGGTTGCACAGAGAGATAGGAATGGTGGGGGGTCTAAATGAGGGGGTGAGCCACTGAGAGGCCCGAAGAGGGACTGAGGGGATCAGTTTTGAAAAGCAGCATGGTGGGCGGGTCATCACAGGTGGAAGTTTGCATCAGGAGGAAGGAGCCCCCTGTCCATTGTGGTTACCTTGTTCCCAGAGAGTAAAGGCACAGTCTCTGTGCAGCCTAGTGGGGGTGGCAGGCAAGGTCACAGTTACAGTGCAATGCAAGGGGTGCCACGATGGGGAAAGTCCAGAGGGCTAGTTGGAGCACAGACTGGAGGGAGGTGGGTAGGCAGCCAGGAAGGCCTCCAGGAGGATGTGACAACTCATAGAGCCCTGATGGAAGAAAAGGATCCACCCAAATGCAAGGGAGGGAAGGGTCCAGGCAGAGGGAACAGCATCTGCAAAGACACTGAGGATGGAGGGAGAGTGAGTGAATTTGGGGTTCTCAGCAAGTATGTCTGGAGCAGGGAGCACACGGGAGAGGGTGGTGCTAGATGAGACCAGGGCCAGATTGTTGAGGTCCTGGGGGTCTCCGTGTTAAAGAGTTCCTCTGGGGTGGTTGTTTCCCTAAATAGGGATGGGGGGCTCTTTGCAGCCTCACTTGGCCTCACTTCCTTCCCAGCCACTTACATGCGTGACAGTGTCTTCCCAGGGTGACTAATTCTGGGAACACAGGTTGCACTGTCCAGGGTCTCACTGTTCGTCCCAGAGTTTCACTGGCCTGCCGAGTTCCGGAAGGCTGTGCTGGTGCAGTAACTGTTCTCCTTTCTCGGTGGCCTTACAGGGTCTTCCTGGCACTGTGTGACAATCCAAAGGACCGGGGCACCATTGTGGCTCAAGGTGGTGGCAAGGTAATTGGGCAGGACAAGGTCCTTGCCTTCCTAGAAGGCGTCCTACAGGGGAGAAGCACACTGTGTGTGTGGGTGCACCTGGCCCAAGAATAATGTGCCCCCTGCCCCAACCCAGCCTGCTGGAATTCGGCCACTCAGCTGTCTATCTGTGCTGCCTGTGCTCATAGCCCCAAGCCAGTTTCTGCTTGACTTGACGCTGTGTCGTGGTACATACTCTGGGATCCCACTTACTTCCTTACTGTTGGAAGGAAGCATGGAGCCAAGGCAGATGGGGAAGACTTGTAGCCGAGACCTTGCTCTCCCTCTTCTTTGGCTGTGTAACCGTGGATCTCCCCGATCCACAATTTCTTTACCTGGAAAACAGGGGGGAAATCACACACTCCCTTTGCAGAATGTCACACGGATTAGAGAAAATACACGGAAATTATTGGCTCACAGTAGGTGCTCAGTAAATGGCTACTGTTATGATGGGGTTTGGTGGCTTGGGTAGAAAGTAAAAAATCCATATGTTGAATTACTTATTTTTCCAAAAGTTGAAGGAACATTTGGATGGTGGGAGGCAGTGGGGGAAAAGACCTCGATGTACGCTGGGAATAGGGGGAGGGAATCGTGATTAAGTATCTGATTTTCCATGACTCAGTCGTGACCTTGCCTTTTCTTGCAGGCCCTGATCCCCCTGGCCCTGGAGGGCACGGACGTGGGCAAGGTGAAGGCGGCCCACGCCCTCGCGAAGATCGCTGCTGTCTCCAATCCGGACATCGCCTTCCCCGGGGAGCGGGTGGGTGTTTGGATGGGTGGGACAGGGCAACCTCTGCTGCCTAGGGGTTCTCCCCTTGTCACCAGCCCCAGTCCGGGAGCGGGGCATGGTGCTGTCACAGGGAGGGCAATACATCGGTGGCACCTGGATCCCAGGCCTGGTTCTGCCTCCGACAAATAGGGTCGTCCTCCCCAAAACCAGCTATCTCATTTGCAGAGTAAAGGAGGGAATCCCGCCTCTCTGGATCACGCTGCAGATTAAATCAGACGATGTATGGAAAAGCACTTCGGGAGATTTAAAGCTGGGCACCTATAAATGTAAGGTGCTGGGGGAAGGTGGTCCCCATCTGACTCGCCCCTCGGCCCTTGCCCCACAGGTGTACGAGGTGGTGCGGCCCCTCGTGAGGCTCCTGGACACAGAGAGGGACGGCATCCAGAACTATGAGGCCCTCCTGGGCCTCACCAACCTGTCTGGGCGGAGTGACAAACTCCGGTGAGTGGGGCAGGTGGAGGGAGCAGGGGTGGAGAGAGGTGCCCATGAAGTGTTTGGTTGAAGTGTCACACGCAACGTGCTTTGATGCCTCTCCTCAGTGCATGGCATCAAAGGCCGTGGGAAGGATTTGAGTCAGCTCTCAGAAAGACCACATGTGGATGTGAGATGCCAAGGGACACCACAAAGGCACTTCTTTCTAAAGTAGCACAAAAATATCCAGGGGGACCGGTGGGGATAGTGTATTCCTTCTTGGAAGCGGGAGTACCATGGAATGTCTTGGGTTGCGATGCTTTTGGTTGCAAGAAGCAGAAAACTCAACTCTAATTGGCTTAAGCATAAAGGAGATCTACTGATTTATGAAAACTAAGAATCCGGGGCAACCAGATTCAGGTGCAGCTTGATGCAGGGGTTACAAAGCTGCCCTGGGTCCTCGTTCTCTCTGCCTCTCCTCTCCTTTCCGTGTTGTTTTGATCCTCACATGGGCTTTTCTGCTCTCTTGTGGGCACAAGGACAACCCTGGACTTCACATCTTCTTGGCTACATGTCCAACAGGGAAGAGAGAATTTCTCTTTGCCAACAATGACACAGAGGCCCTTCAGTTGGGTGATGTGTTCCTCACAGAGCCCACTGCTGTGGCCTGGATGCCATGCTATGTCACTGGGTTTATGCCCATGGGTACTCCCTCTGGAGCTGGAGGCAGGCTCAGTGCCACACAACCATGCTGCCTGAGGCTGTGGGAGGGACACCACCAGGATGGAGGGATGGCCTTGGGTGGACAGAAAACCCACATGCTCACTGCAGAGGACTCAAGGGCCTCTCTTCCTCCACCCTCCCACCCTAGGCAAAAAATCTTTAAGGAGAGGGCCTTGCCAGACATCGAGAACTACATGTTTGAGAATCACGACCAGCTGCGGCAGGCAGCCACCGAGTGCATGTGCAACATGGTGGTCAACAAGGAGGTGAGACCGCGGCTCAGGATGGGGACGGGCGTGGCTGAGGCGGAGAGGCGGCCAGAAGGCAAGAACCGGGGCGAAAACCGGGGCCAATAACGGGGCCAAAAAAACCAAGAACCCCCCAAAACCCTCCCAAGTTAAAAGCCCACCCCCCCGGAAGAACCCCGAAAAAAAAAATAGCAAGAAGGAAAAAAAAACACAAAGTAGTAGTATCCCAAGCTGGGGCTCTGACTCCAAAGCTTGGGCTAGGTGAGGCAGAAGGTACCATTTCCTTAAGTTCCTTGGGCCTGATTAACCTCATAACAAAGCAGGTTGAGAGACCAGGGCCTCTGAGAGGTCAAGAGAAGCTGAGACCACTTGCATTTATTGAAGCTCCAAACATATAAAAAAAATGAAGAAATACCAAATGCAGTTACAAACCCTTTTGGAATATTTTCAATGTCAGCATGTCATGAACTATCACTGTTTCCATAGAAATTGCAATGCAACATAGCTGTGCTCTTCACAGAATAACTATAGGATTTATAGAAAGAAAGCGAATTTAGAACATGCCACAGGCCTCGTGGTCCAGTAATGGGACAGATTATAACCGTCTGGTGAATGTCTTCTTTTTTCCGTCCTGTCAGAGAATCGCTGTGCCTGTAGGTACAATCTCAGAGATAACCACAGGGTCTAAGTCAACGTGAGGGCCAGGCCCAGTGGCCCTCCTGGGCCCTAACGTGGGGGCTGGTGTGAGACCCAGTCTGTTTGCCCTCAATATCTAAGTCTTTTATTTATTTATTTATTTTAAATTTATTTTTTTGAGACAGGGTCTCACTCTGTCGCCTGGGCTAGAGTGCCGTGGCGTCAGCCTAGTTCACTGCAACCTCAAACTCCTGCGCTAAAGCGATCCTCCTGCCTCAGCCTCCCGAGTAGCTGGGACTACAGATGTGCGCCACCACACCCAGCTAATTTCTAATTTTTTCTATTTTTAGTAGAGACAGGTTGCCGCTCTTGCTCAGGCTTGTCTCGAATTCCTGAGTTCAAGTGATCCTCCTGCCTCAGCCTGCCGAGTAGCTGGGACTACAGATGTGCGCCAGCATGCCTGGCTAATTTTTTATGTTTTTAGTAGAGACAGGGTGTCGCTCTTCCTCAGGCTGGTCTCGAATTCCTGAGCTCAAGCGATCCTCCTGCCTCGGCCTCCCAGAGTGCTAGGGTTACAGGTGTGAGCCACAGCGCCCAGCCAGTACCTAAGTCCTGGATCTCACTGCTATGGGAGGAAAACCTGACACACCAAAGCCTGTTTCAGTCAGGGGAAATAAAGCCACCAGGGTCCCCCAGGGGGGTAGGCGGGGGGCCTGGTAGCCATGTGGAAGAAAGAGGGTGTTTCCAAGGAGGGCAGGGGTGGGGAGGGCTGGGGGGTAGAGACAATGGGAGGGGGAAGGTAGCCTTCCCTGGGGGGCGCTAGCTGGTGCAACAGTCGAAATCAAAATGCACAGTGGTCCCAGTGGGATGGAGGATCATTTCTTGCTCATCATGCCATAGTCCTACTGGGTCAGGGGCTTGCTTCCGAACAATGGCTTGGGAATCCAGACTCCTTTGATCACCAAGAACCATCTCCCCTTCTGCGGCCCATGTCCATTCCGATGGTGTGTGGGGAGAGAGACCATGGGACCAGAGGCACCAGTAGTACCCACCCATGGTGGCCTGAAAGTGACACACATCACTTCCGCTCAGGTCCTATCAATGAGAACCAGGGACTGCCACCTCTAGGTGTGAGGGGGGCAGATAGAGTCCCTGGCAGGGTGGCTGCTTCCCAGCAACTGTGCCCATGAGAGGGGACCATGCTCTCACCTCTGGTGACCATGGCTCCAGCTTCAGGGAGATGCAGGCGGAGGGTCACACCTGGGCAGCTGTGGCCTTTGTCCCCTTTTGGAGCTCCACTACCAGGAAAGCTGACCCAGTGAAATGCCCTTAGATGTGACCAACCAGGTTTTACAGTAGTGCAGGGGGATGGGAGCGACATGCTGCCAGGTGTTATACCTCTCTGGGACACCTCAGGGCCCTGGGCCCCGGGAGGCTCTTCTGGTTTGCAGGCTTTTGGGATGACTCATCCCTCGCCTGGTGGAGACCATACAGCAGCTCTCTAATACCAAGCAACCTAACTGTCCCCTGCTCCTGCCCAAGTCTCTGCAGAGTCATTTAGCAGACCTCGGAGGCCCATGCATTGTGGGAAAAACCTTCCAAGCTTCCCCCAAAGGAAGGAAAACATGGTTCTTCAGGCATCATCTACTGTCCGGGAGTCTGTGCCTGCCTCTTTCCCCTGGTGTGGAGAGCTGAACGCAAACACATGTGGTGACGCATCCTGGATGGGGAATCCCTTAGTTCCTTGACCCTTTAGCTGGAGGAATTCATCCAGCCAATCAGGGAAGGCTTCCTGGGGGAGGTGGCATGAGCAAGCTGCTCTGAGGAAAACACCACGTGATCCTGGATCAGAGAATTTCAGATGCATCGTTCCCTCTTCAGGCTGGGCAGGTGGTGGGCATTTTCCCCTGAGCCACGTACCTGTCTCCCACAGGTTCAGGAGCGGTTCCTGGCCGATGGGAATGACCGGCTGAAGCTGGTGGTGCTGCTGTGCGGGGAGGATGATGACAAGCTGCAGAATGCAGCTGCGGGGGCCCTGGCCATGCTGACAGCAGCACACAAGAAACTGTGCCTCAAGATGACTCAAGTGGTACGAGCAGGCCCTGGGGATAGGAAGGGGCTGCGTGGGCTCTAGGGAATCTCCCCACCCCCAGACCACACTGTCCCGGATGATCCTCTGGGAGGCCAGACCCCGCAGTAACTCCTGCCAGCCCCCGGGTATCTGTTCCTACCACTAAACAGAGGAGGGTCTGTACCCTCCAGCACTTACATTCATTATCTGGACTTCCCAAGCATGCTAGCTCAAATCCCTCCCACTGCGATTTCACCCACCGTCTTTGGTGGTGCATGTATCTTATTACTTAATAATAACAATGCTAACTACCACTGCGGCGCTCCTGAGCTTCTCAAGAGAAAAGTGAAAGTGTTTGGCCTACCATACGGAGCTCACAGTTTGGAAGAGGCTGCAGATTCTTCTCAGTGGGCACGACGACCAGCTCCTGTGGTGGGACGGGGACCATCACGGCAGGTGTAACGGGAATGATATTTACACAGTCACAAACATGCAGGTGTAAAATGAAACTATCCTTATTTTCACCAAACTGAACTTAGTTCATCATCTCCTTTGATGGTGGAAGATGTAGACATCTCAATTCAAAGGTACTCACATTGGTTTAAAGGCAGGCTCTTTTAGACAGTCAATATAAGGTGGGTGTGTGCTCTAAGTTCCAAGGGGGCTTCTGTTGTCCTGGCACCAGGGGAGGGTGTCTCTGCTGGATGGAGCTCATCCTGCCTGGTCTTTGGATTTCAGCCTCTTTCCCCAAGGCAAGCTTCTCACAACACTAACATGTGTAAGAATCAGCTTGTTAACACAGTTTCCCCAGATATTCTGATTTGGTAGCTTGGGGGTGGGATGCTTCTGGCTTGGAGGCCACACTAGGAAAACACTGCCCTAGAGTAGCGTCTGCTGGAGTAATTGTAGTCATGTAACTGTTGGCAGGTCCTCGCAGGATGCCCTGTGACTCCTTGCACTTACTGAAGGCCAGCATTGCTCTAAGTGTTTACATATATTAAGTCACTTAATCCTCCCAACTACCCTGTGAGGTGGATATTATTTTTATTATCCCTTCTTTACAGATGAGGAAACTGGGGTGCAGAAAAGTAACTAGCCCGAGGCCGCACAGCCAGTTAGTGGGAACAGATTGGAATCCCTCAGGATTGCTGACCCACTCTTGGCCACTTCTTTGTTCCTCCTGAGGGGCTCAGAAATCTTGGCTGCATTTTTGTCCTGACATGGATGTCCTGGGGAGTCTGTGAAGCTTCCCAGATCCATCTTTTGTGTGACCCTGTGGCCACGTGGGATGCTGGACACAGCAGTCTCGCATCAGCTGGGATATGCCCCGGAAAGCCAGACAGTAGTTCCTCCTGCCCTGGGGTCCCACCCTACTGGGTTTCTGTCGCCCCTCCCCTTGAGCCTCCAATGACTCATCCCAGGGAGCGATGGGCCTGGGATCCATCAGCACAGAAACCTTCCCTGGGCCCTACCACAGCGAGCTGAACTTGATTTCCTTTCCTTGGGGAAGGAGACTCAGTGCAGAGTTTACAAAAGTCTGCTTCGACACTCAGAAGCCAAGAATCTGCCTTTTCTTCCCCTCTGTGTCTGTCTCCCATCTGAGAGCCGTGCATGTAGAACGTGATCCCTACTGACAAATGCCAGGTGAGGGTAACAGGTATAAGGAAGCCCAAGGGAGAAAATCCTTGGGATGGTGTCCTAAATCATTACCCCTGTCTACTTCCACCTGTTGAGCATTTCTACACTCCAGCCCCCATGCTAAGCTCTTTCCATGTATCATCCCATTAAATCATCACAATGTTAGCAGTAGGCATAGCAGATGACGGATGAGGCTTCTGAGCTTAGAGAGGTTAAATAAACTGAGGTCTTACAGTTGGTGAGTGGCTGAGCTGGGACCTGAACACTGATCTCTCTGACTCCAACTCCATGCAGATGACTATTCCACCCTGCTGCACTGTGTGTGTCTATTGAATGATACAGCAGTTAAGCCTCCTGGTTCTACTCTCAGCTTCATCTCTGTCTCCTGGGGTGATGGAGCAGTCTACAGTCCTGCCTCCCCATGCTTTATGACTGGGACTGGAGGAGGGGATATACTCCAGACTCTTGTGTTGATTCCAGTTAAAGTCAGGCCTGGTAGGAGCATGTCTGCATGCCTGGCACTCATATTTCAAAGGGCATGAGGGCTGACAGAAGCTGGGTTGCCCAGGTGCCCAGGGTGAGAATCCTCCTTTTGAACACTGTGCATCCCCATTGCTCAGGCATGCAGTGGGCCTGCCCCTTTGCTTCTCAAGCTGCTTAAAAAATAAATGGGTGTTAATCCCATCTACCATTTCTGGATGTGTGACCATAGCTAAGTTACTTAGCTGTAGGCCTGGCCAATGCTTTCTGTTTATCTTGTCTCCAAATCTCTTCTATCTCCCCACTGATTCCTCTAATCCTTCTTTCTTAGTCTTTCTGTTGCTATAACAGAACCAGACTGGGTAATTTATAAAGAAAAGAGATTTACTTTAGCTCATAGTTCTGGAGGCCGGGAAGTCCAAGATTGGGCAGCTGTGTCTGGTCAGCTTCTGGTGAGGACCTTGTGCTGTGTCATAACATGGTAGAGAAATGGAAGAGGAAGAGGGTGCATGAGAAAGGGGTGAAACACAAAAGGTGGAATGTGGTGCCATGAGGGGCTCTTGTGGTAACTATTCTAGTCTCTCAAGAGCTAGAACTCACTCACTGCTGCAAGAATTAACCTTGCATTAGCACAGCATTAGTTCCTCTTAACAACCTAGTCACCTCTTAAAGGCCCCACCTCCCAACACCATCATACCAGGGACCAAATTTCCAACACATGAGTTCTGGGAACACACTCCAACCTAGCACCTTCCTCACCCTTTCCCCCGTCTCCAGACATCCCAGTGGTTGGAGATCCTACAGCGGCTTTGCCTGCACGACCGGCTGTCAGTCCAACACCGGGGCCTGGTCATTGCCTACAACCTGCTGGCAGCTGATGCTGAACTGGCCAAGAAGCTGGTGGAGAGTGAGCTCCTGGAGATCCTGACTGTGGTGGGCAAACAGGAGCCAGACGAGAAGAAGGCAGAAGTGGTTCAGACGGCCCGGGAATGTCTCATCAAGTGCATGGATTATGGCTTCATTAAACCGGTGTCTTAGACGGGGGCCCACAGGGCTACTGAGACTGGTTCTGTACTGTGCAGAGTCCTGGGCTGGGTACTCCCAGAGTGTCAGGTCATCTAGGGATCATAGCAGTGACAATGAAGTCTCGATATAAAGGAAAGACTTGATTGTTCCTTGAATCTTTCCTTTTGTCTTGGCAAAGTTTGGATGTTTCACTGGCTCTCTTGCTCCCTGTCTCCTTACATTTGTCATGTTCCAGAAATTTCTAGAGTAATTTTCATCCAAGATTAGAAGACAGGTTGGATAATTCTTTCTGTATCTATTCTGAAGGCCAGGACAATGGGCTGAAGTTCTTTATATTTTGGAAAATGGATTGTATGGTAAAATAGGAACTAACAAGTATTTGAGTATAAAGGCTAATGTGGTTGGATTTGAGTGCTGATCTTTGCTGGTTTTCAAACCTTCTCTTCCATACTGTTTGAATTAGGTTATTTATAACTGCGTGTTTCACCTGCGATGTTCTGTCCCAGTCCCATGCCACTCCCATCACTCAACTGTGGTGGAAATGCAGTTTGTGTTCAACACTGTAACATGACCTTTGCAATTTGCTTGGGAAAGTCTTCTGAGCAAGACAGACATGATGAATATAAATGAGACCCACGCAAAGTGCTTCAAACAAAAAATAAATAATCCATTGGCTCATATATCTTGACTATCCAGGGAAAGGCCTGACATTGACATTGTTAGATCCTGAGGTTCAAATGGTGTCACCAATGTTATTCTCCATGTATGTGTCTTTCTCTCTCTCTCATCCCATATCTTGTCTTTGATTTCGCTTGGGTTGACCTCTTTCTCTGGCAGGCTCTCTCCATGTGCTAGGAAGGATACTCCCCAGCAGCTCCAGTCTCATGTAGTCATTAAAATTCATTATGGAAGAGAAGAGAGAGGAGCATTCTGAAAAACCCAGCAAAATTCCCAGGATGACTCCAGTTTGTCTAGTTCAGGTCTCATGTCCATCCATGAGCCAGGGGTGGAATGCTAATTGGCCAGGCCTGGGTCATATATAAAAGTCTAGGGCGAGAAGGAGCTCCATCCCTATCCAATTGACTGATTAGGGTTGTTAAGTAATGGAAGAGTCATGCTACCACAAAAGAATGTATGTTGGACAGATCAAAGAACATGTTCTGTAGGTCAGACTTAGCCACAAAAGAATGATAGAAGTAATATGTTTGTAGATCTGAATTTCTCTGCTAATATTGCCTTTCTAGCATGGTTGAGATAGCTATGATCTAGTACTGCCATCCCAGTATGTCCCAATTCTACCCACATTTATTGAAGGGTCAACAGTTCTGATCTCCCTGTTGGGTAGAGGGTAGAGCATTCAGATTTATGGTTCTTGATAAAATAATTTAAAATTTTCTGGTACTATAAAGGTAACTGCAGATATGCCTATGACATCAGTTGGAAAAGGGACAGAGTATTGAAAGTTGCACTGTTAGGATATGGGCCAAATCCAACATAACACCCCATTGCACCCCCAGAGAACAGGTGCAGATATCAGGAAAACAGTTTGTAATCTTTTCTGCACATATGATCTTCACATACAGCCTATACTTTGCTAACTCTTGCATGGGCTTGTTTCACAGCAGAAAACTATACTCATCATATCCTCCTTATTCTGATAGAGAATGGCAGTCAACATTGGGGTATAGCCCTTTTGAAAATACTCACAACATTTATTATCAATAAATGGCATGATTTGATCTCTATCCAAATTCTTCTTTTCTTCTTTCCTCACATTTAGGGTTGAGGGGGTATATTAAGCTCCTAATAAGAAAAAAATCTTTCAGGGTTAGGACCACAGTCTTACTCATCTTAACTGTCACGAGGTTAAATCTATCAGAGACATCTGGGGCCAGTTGGATAAATCTCACCTTGTTTGGGTTGGACAGACCACATTCTTTAACGTGAATTTTCTGCAAATAGTCCAAGAAGATCCAGAGGAAACCAATCAGCTTGGAAGGGAAGGTAAATTGCTTAATCTGATTTTTGCCATAGGGCTGTCTCCCACCGTCCGGCTGAGAAGCCTTCATGGGAGGCCTTTAAGAAGAGCTGTGAGAAACAGTTTTTGTTTCTCACTGCTTAGGTGACAGAAACGGTTGGCTTTTCCAACCTGGACTCTTGGTCATTTTTGCTTGTAGACCACAGGTAAGAGGGCCCTTCTTAGCAGACTTCTATTTCTTTCCATCTATGCTTGCAAACAGGCTAACGCTAGCCTGAGATCGTTTCTTTATTGAGGTAGCTTGCTAAAAAAACAGCAATAAGCAGCCAATAGCTGCCAACTTTCTAAGTTTTTCCAACCTGTTCCCTTACAGAAGACCCATGAATACTTTAGAGGTATTTTTCTTAATTCCCCATGTAATGGGAAAATTCAATATTTTTCTCATTACTCTTTGACTTAAGTGTATTGTTGGAGAACTTGGTCTGCCTGATACTCTTTGCCATTTGAGAGGCATACAATCTTAAGCTTTATATCTCCAGAATGATATTTTGTAAAAATGTATTAGCCTCTTTGATCTGTAGACTTCACATTTGTTAAAAGTAAACACTAAATAGTAAAGGATTTCTGTTTGTAGTAACAGCATTTTAGCTTGTGTCAGACCAAGAATCTGAGAGGAAAAAAAAGAAAAGGTGGACAAGACCTAAACCACCTGTTTAAAGGCACCTGAGCGCTATTAAGGCAGCGAGGCCTTGAGGGGTGAAGAGCAGCAAAAATGGAAGCAGCGAGAAGGGAACACAGCTTTTTTGTGGAGGTCTTTCCACTCAAGATATCTGCCAATCTGCAAGTGGAGGCTGAGAGTCAGAGAGGTTTGAGAAGTGGCTGAGAGACCATTTATCAAACTGAGAAAAGAATAAATAGAAAATTTGAATGGTACAATACCTACTGAATAAAGTGTGTTTGTAACAACAATAACAACGATAGTATTCATAATAATAAAAACCCTTCCCACAAAGAAAACTGGGGTCCATTTAGTTTCAGTGGCAAATTCTCCAAACATTTAAGAAAGAAACAATACCAGTCTTATACAAAGTCTTCCAGAAAATAGAAGAGGGACAGTTTCAGCTCTTTGTATGAGGACAGTATAACCTTGATACCAAAACTTGACAAGGGTGTTACACTATAGGTAAATTTTAGTCCAATATCTTTTATGATTATAAGTACAAAATCCCTTTTTCATTTATTTATTTTTTTAGCACATTTGCTTTACTGGGAACAAAATCCTTTACTAAATAGTGGCATACCAAATCCAACAATATATAAAAAAGATAGTATATTAATC